CTCGGGAAGAGGTTGGAGGGGAGGGATGAGGCGGCAGCAGCTGACAAGGCATCAGAGCAGTTTCCCACCCTTCGAGAAAGCAGAGCCAGGGAGACCAAGGCGAGGTATCCGCTTGGAGGGGAGCAGGGTGTGCCTGGGGGGGCAGGCTCAGGGGCCAGGCTGCAGTCGCTTTGGCAATATTTTCTCCCATGATTTGCTTTTGTCTGCGTCCAGCCAGCTCCGCCGTGTGTGGCAGAGAGATCTGCGGGTGGGCTGAGCCAGGAGCAACCCTGGGAAGGGTCGGGACATGCAGTGAGGAAGGAGGAGGAGGAGGGAGGGATTGCTGACACGGAGAAGGCAGCAGAAAGGTGTTTTCTGCCCGGGCTGCCTTCCCACAGACCCTGCTGCGGGAGGAGGTTGCTGGAGGGAGCAGTGAACGCGACGAGCCTTTCGCAACGAGTCTGGTGACTGGTACAGTGAGGAAACGCTCCTGGCATGCACAGGGACGCAGGAGCCGTGCATTACTGTCTCATGTCTTTGCAGTCCTTGGGCCAAGCCCCAAAAGTGTTGCTTGAGAGCCTGGGAGCGTGTCCGAGCTGCTTTCTGGCAGGGTCTCCTGAGACACTCGTCCCCTGCGTGGACATGGCACTAACCCCGCAAGAAGAAACACATCAGGGCCCGAAACCCTGCGGTGCCTCGGCGGTGTGCCGGCTCCAGCCCCAGCCGAGCAGGCTCCACTTCTCCCTGGGAAAGGGCTGGGAAAGGGCGAAGAAGAGCGGGTTGTTGCATCAGAGCTCTGCTTCCCAAGGGACCCCGGGGCACGCCTGGGTGACAGCACGTCTGCCCTCCCCTCGGAGGACAGGCTTGCACTGTATTTAGCTCTTTTCCACCGTTCCCAGCTCTCCAGCGCCGCTGGATAAAGAGCTCCCTGTTTCGGTTACAGCTGATCGGACCCAAACTCTTGCCGAGATATGAACGGGCTGTTGCAGTGGTTGGACACGAGGGAAGCCGACAAGGGAGCTTTGCTGGCTCCTTTCGGTTATTTTTAGCTTCTCCTCCTTGTTCTGCTCCAACGTGCAGCTTCCCAGGCTGAGTGGGGACATTTTCCAGCCTGGGGGCTGCAGGGATGATGGGAATTGGGGGTCCCAGTGAGAAAACTGTGAAGGGAGCTAGCAGGGTTATGGACAACGGGCTGGAAAGGATCCCTGGTCCAGCTGTCTAGGCTTTCCCCTCTCCTCCCAAAACTGAAAGCTCCCTTTATCCCTCCCAGCCCCTCCACAGGAGCAGGGGTCCCAGCTGCATTGGCGATAGCCGTCCAGAGCCAGCTGCTGCTCTCCACATGCCTAACTGCTGCCAGAGGAGGTGGGGAGGGCAGGAGACCCCCAAGGGAGAGCGTTGGGACTTCTGCCCGTGACAAATCCCCCTGTGACCTTTACACAGCTCCCTCTTGCCCTGGAGCTTGTGATTTTTGCCTGCCCTTGGCACCGGTCACTGGGCTGGCAGTGAGCACCGCTGGGGAGCTGTGGGTTAGCGAGATGCAGCGAAGAGAAACGCTTGGGGAAGCAAGAACCCCGTGGCATTGGGGGCTGGAATTTCCAGCTGTTGTGCTGAATTTTTGTCAATCGTCATGGGATGACTGAGGGAGCAGCTGCCTCTTTCTGGGAAAAATCCTGGGCTGGCATCTGTCGGGTGCCTTGGTCTTGCACCCAGGCCAAGCTGGTCTGCCCAGCCCGCAGCCCAGGAGGTGTCAGAACCGTTTTTGTCCGTGAATCGAGCCTTTTCTCCACACCAGGCGGTTGGTCTCTTGAATGCATTCATTGCTTCATGATTTAACTTTATTCCAGTTGCGCGGGTTCCTTGTGGGTACCCGGGATCTGAGCTGTCCTGTCCGTCAGGGAGTGGTGAGAAAGGTCAAGTGGAGACATTTGCAGAGCAGGCACCGTGCCGTGGCTCCGGCCGCGGGTTCGGCCGCCGGTGCTCGTGCAGAATCAGGGTGTGGGATTTTGAAATCTGGCTTCTTGCATCCACGCCAGTGAATTCAACTGCATGAAACTGGATAGAGAACAGACTGCCGACTGTGTCGGGTCCAGGGAGAGCTGGCTTTGAACCTTCCAGTGTGTTGGAGGCAATTGTAAAGCTTGTGGTGGCCTCAGGCTTGTTGCATCCCTGTTATCCTGAACGCAGGGCTGTTGAGGGGAATGCTGGCTGTGAGCTGGTTTCCTGCAGATTGCTTGGAAGTGGGTCCTGCTTTCCCGCAGCAGGCTGGTGAGCGGTGGGCAGAGCCTCTGCGGGGAGCTGCAGCTCTGCAGGGGGAGGCTGGTGGGGACCCGCAGCAGAGCAGGGTCGTGGCAGTGCTGGCTGTGCCCTGCT